ATGTTAATGCTGTAATGAAATGCTTCTAATCATGTGGTTATTAAATAATTAAAAAAAAAAAAAAGAGCCTTTGGGGCTGGAGAGATGGCTCAGCAGTTAAGAGCATTAGCTGCTATGGCAGAGGACCAGGATTCAGTTCCCAGAATCCACATGGTGGCCAACAACTCCAGTTCCAGGGGATCGGACATCCTCTTCTGGCCTCCACAGGCACTGCATGCACTTGGTACACTTACATATATGTAGGCAAAACATTCATACACATAAAATAAAAATAAATCAATCTTTAAAATAAAAAAGAAAGAGGGGCTGGAGAGATGGCTCAGCAGTTAAGAGCACTGAATGCTCTAGCAGAGGACCCAGGTTCGAGTCCCAGCACCCACATGATGGCTATGAACTGTCCTTAACTCCAGTTTCAGGGGTATTCAAAGCTCTCTTCTGACCTCTGCGGCATTGCACGACATGGGTGCACTCACATACATGGAGGCAATACACTCACACACATAAAAATAATAAATATATTTAAAAAAAATTTTTTTTAAAAAAGTTTGACTAATCCTTTTCACTTCCATGCAAACAGAGATGCTGAAGGGCAAGGTGTACTCCTAGGCCTGTCACAAAGCAGGCAATCCTTGCTGAAAAGGAAGCATAGGCAGAAAAAGACCACAGAATCCATCTTCCGTACCTGCAGCACCACACCCAGCCAACAGAGGGAGCTGCCTCACCTGCTCTTCCAGCATCATCCGCACAGAGCGCTCCTTGTCCAGCTGCTGCCGCAGCTCTATCATCTCCCTCCGAAGGTCCTCAGCCTTCTCATCCTCCCAGATGTCAGGTGAGCCAATGCCCTCGTCCTTGTCCTCTGCCCGCCGCCGCTTGGGGGATGAACCACTCAGCTCCTGGGGACCCCAAGAGGTGGGTGAGTGGACTGCTCCATTGCAGGTTCCCCAAAGCTGCCCAATACAGGTGTATCTATGCTGGGGAGTCTATTCTACAAGTCCTACAAATCAGTCAAACACCAGGAGGGGAAGAAGAATGGACTGTCTTTCTGGAATAGTCACCTGGTTCCTCCAAAGTCCACTCTACTACACTTCACAGGAAAACCGAGGGCCCAGCAGGAAGTAGTGGGTCAGTGGGCAAGATGGAACTGATAACCATATATGCATCACAAGCTAATGGTTTGGTTAAGAGATGCCTACACAGGAGAGGAGCAGTCAAGAGGAGCCAGGAGAAGGGCAGAGTACTGCAGGAAGGAGTCCCCCTCAGATACCTGGATGAAGCGCTTGAGCTGTGTATTTTGCTGCAGGAGCCTGGTCTTTTCCTGCTCAAGAGAGAAGATATACTCCGCCGTCTGCTGGAGAATGGCTGCCTAAGGGCAGGAGGGATAGAGTCAGATTGGTGCCCTTTTCCCACCAGAGCGTGCCACTTTCTCCAGGAAATTCTCCCTGCTCTAGCCCACCTTGCTGAGCTTTTCTCCATCTGTATGGGGAATGAGGGTCTTGAGGGACTGGAAGCCCGCATTAATGCTCTGCATGCGCCTCCGTTCGTTGCTGTTGGCAATCTCCCTCCGTATCCTTCGCTCCTGGTCCCGCTGGGTTTCAGGGGTCAGTGGAATGTTGGCAAGGCTGCCAGGGAGAACAAGGACAGGTTCAGGTTAGGTGTCCTATAAACCCTACCCCCAGTGGGCTCCTGTCTTCGTAGTTCATTGCCAGAATAGTAACATAAGTTCATTGCCTGATGTAACCTGCATTGATCTACTGTTGCAAATAGTAGCCTGAAGCCTATCTGGCTGATCACCCCCAAGGATAACAGAGGGATGCTCTCTGGGATGCCCAGTAGATAGAATCAGCTGCCTGTGGACAAGGTGAATCCACCAGCTCCCCAGCTTCCTTCTTAAAGGTCTCTCCTCCAGAAGAGGTTCCCAGCAGTGTCTAGATATCAAAACACGTAAGAGCTCATAACCATGCAGCATCTGCCTAGCCAGGCTGGGTGAGGCCCAGAAATCTGCATTCATAGGCTAATCCCTATTGATTCTGATGCAGGAAGACCTCAAACAGCAACTAGAGACACCTGCTCTTGGGACACTTCAAAGCTCCTTGCTGTGTACCTGAACCACCTCCTGCAGCAGCTCAGACTCTGATACCGCAGTGTTCAGAAGATAACCCTTCTCCCTGCTCACTGCCACAGCTGCCTCCAGCACAAGCCCATAGTTACCACCCCAGCCACTTTGGGCTAAGATTGCACAGAGGACAAGACAAGTAACACTCACTCCACAAATGGGACACAGGGCCAACCACCTCTGGGGACAGTTCTCCAACCAGACCCACTCAGAGAGGCAAAGAAGTAAGGCTCCCAACATGCTGTGAGTGATGTTACTACATGCTGCAGAAGTTGTGGCTAGCCAGTGGGATGAGAGAGAAGGCAGCGAGAGACAGGGCAAGCCTGCAGGCTGAAAGGCACGGGTGGGAGGCAAAACAGCAGTAGAGGGCTGAACGCCACTGCTCCCGAGGGGGTGGGCCTGTGTGTGGCCTGGAGGAGGCATGCCCCCCTTCTCAGCCCTCCCCTGTACTCCCCCTCCTAACCCTGGCCTGATGGCTTCCAGATGCTGTGCTCCCAGCAGAGGCCGTCAGCCCCACCCAAAGCCACAGCCCTGGCTTCTTCCTGAGGGGCCCTCCCGGGTGACCTGTTCCAGGCTAGAGTCAAGGGAGCACATGCCCCTGGATCTGGAGGAACAGGGAAAGACCTCTCACCTCATCGATGTGGGAGTCTGAGGTCAAAGAAGTACTGGGTCTAACTTTCTTGCTTCGACTTGGCCCTTGCCCCTATCCCCAGGGAAAATGAACTACACAGCAGCCCAGGAGAGGAACACATCTGCAGCAGCTGGAAACAGCTGAGGCCTGTTCTGCCCCACCCAGCCTACCCCATCTGTCCTGCCTCAGCTCCCTAAAGGACCCTAGTAGCATCCCTGCCCCTTCCAGGGCCTCAGCTTCCTCTCCCACAGAAAGGGTAGCTGGCTGGGAACGAGCTCCCTGTCAGCCACTGCAGGGAGTTTGGAAGCAAAGCAGTTCCCTTCCCACTTCATTGAGCCAAGACCCCCTTCTATCAGGGCCCAAAAGCCCAGGACCTCAAACGACCTAAGGCCTACCTGGCCCCTTCTCCCAGAGTACAGGTCCCTCATAGGGCCTGGGAATGTCAGTATTGGGAAAGGGACCCAGGCCTCCCACCTGACAGATGAGGCTTCCCTTTACTTAGGGAGTAAGGTGGGAAGAGACATAGCTCTAGTAAGGTAGGAAGGTCAACAACTGGAAATTCTGCTTTTCTGCTTCAAATCAGGGTGCCTCTCTTCTCCCAGCCCCAACAATGGGAGCAATGGGGTATCTAGAAGGAAGCAAGGAGTCAAAGCAGAGAAAAACTGATGCTCTTCAGCCCTAGAGCCTGGCTCTGCCCTCTAGTCATACTTCCTCTGAGGCTAGCAGGCCCAGTGGGATGGAGAATGCTCTGTGGGTTAACATCACAGGCCTTTGGGGACAAGAAGAAACAAGGGAGGGTTTGACAAGGGAGGGTTTGGTAGCCTACACTTGTAATTCCAGCACTTAGAAGGCTGAGGCTGGAGGAGTGAGCGTTTTGAGACCAGCCTGTGCTACATAGAAGACCTTGTCTCAAAACACAAGAGAGAGACAGGGAGTTGGGTATGATGGCAATATGTCAGTTAATACCAGCATTCAGGAGGCAAAGATAGGATAAGTTCAAGGCCATCCTCAGCTACATAGTAAGTTCAAAGGCAGGCTGGACTACATGAGACCCTGTCCCCACTGCCCACACCACCCCACCTACCCCCAAAAAAAGAAAGGAAAGAAAGAAAAAGAACAAAAGAGGGCCAGCAGATGGCTTGGTAAGTCAAAGTACTTGCTGGCAACTCTAAAGTTCCATCTCTGGGCCAGGTGTGGTGGCACCCACCTTTAGTCCCAGCACTCAGGAGACAGAGTCCAGTGGATCTCTGTGAGTTCATGGCAGCTAACAACTGTCCATAACTCCAGTTCCAGGTGATCCAACACCCTCTTCTGACTTCTGCAGGCACTGCACAACACGGGTGCACTTACATACATGCAGGCAATACACTTATGCACATAAAAAATAAAAATACAGCCATGGTAGCTCAGGCCTTTAATCCCAGCACTTGGGAGGCAGAAGCAGGTGGATCTCTGTGAGATCCAGGCCAACTAGGGCTACAGACTGACCCTGTATCAAAAAGACCAATAATAATAGTAATAATAATAATTTTTAAATGTTAAAAAAAAATTTTTTTAAAGACCTGGTATGGCATTGTGATCCTAGCACTAGGGAGGTAGAATCAGGAAAATCCTGAGTTCAAGGACAACCTGGGGTACATAACATGATCCTGTCATTTCCTCAGTGACCTGTCACAATCCTCCAGTGTGGCAGCCTGGTGATTCTCATGTAAAAAGGAAGAAACTAGCTACAGTAAAATGCGGCACTGGAACCCCAGAGCAGGTGTCAAGCCACAGGGCAGAATAGGTTCTATACCATCCCACAGACCAACTAACAGTTTCCCCAGAAAAAGAGGGCCAGGCACTGTGTGAGTACTGTCACTGTGCTAACTCGTCTTTTTGCTGCTGTTCTATTTGTGACAAGATCTCATTCTGTAGCCTGGGCTAGCCGCATGGCAATCCTCCTGCCTCAACCTTCCAAGTGCTGGGATTACAGGTTTAAGCCACATGCCTGGCTTAACTGTCTTTAATATTCAGATTTCTTTATCCCTCTCACTGAGGCTCAGAGAGGTGGTTGCAGCAATGAGCCATGACACAGGGTCCTGTCTTGTGCAGATAGAACAGGGCACAGCTGACTCCTGCAAATGACCCACCAATGAGTGATGTGCTCTATTGACAGCTTACAGCCACAGGCTGCTCAACAATATGGGTGTCACTGTAAGAAGAGACCCACAGGAGAGGAGACTCACCCAAGGTTGCACTCGATGGACTGACAGGGCAAAGTGTAGTTGGATACAGTTCCCTGCAGCCCCCACCAACTCAGCTGCTCTTGAAACGTCAGGCCTGAGCACTGACCTCTCCCTCTTTCTATCCTTCAAGACATCCACTAACTGGGGAGCCCAAAACAGACCTCAGAGCCTCAGCATTGAAAACTTCAGTCATAGAATTCCCAGAATGAAAAAGCTTTAGGTCCCAGGCAAGGAGCAGGCCACTAACCTAACTCTTCCAAGAACTCCACTTGCCCTCACCCTTCAAATCCATCTACCCAGTCTCCTACCTAAGAAACCAACTGCTGGGCAACCTGGTCATACCTGGACCAAACTGTGAGGAAAGAGGTTTTCTCTGCAAAGCTACAGTTCCACATGGGACTTGGGTTTACCTCAATTACTCATTTAAACAGCCCAGAAAGCTTCAGCTAATAGAATCAATGGACTACATGCTAATCACAATTTCTGATTAGTAGAATGTAAGGGAGCTAGAAGCTCTAATTGGTGGACTGTAAGCTAGCCAGGAATTCTGATTGGTGGAATGCAGACCAACTGTTCTGATTGCTGACCAGCCCAAGGATGGTGGATTGTCATTTCCAGCTGATATTGCACTAGAAAATGTGGATTTTTTTCACAAGAGCCTAAAGGTAACTTACAGCTCTCTCGTGGTTCTCCAGAAGTAAATTCACAGTAAGTAATCACATGAAAAAGTCCTGCTCCCCACTCCCTAGCAACTTCAGATTCCCATGGGTAAGCAGTGAACATGGCAGAGACCACTGTCAGGTTGCTCTAGCTTCACCCTGTGACAGCAAGATTCTGCTGGTCAGGGGTTGCTTGGTCTCAGGAATAAGGAACTGAGCAACCAATAGCTCTGAAACTGCCTAGTGAAAAATGCCAGCATCCAACCAGATGCTCAGGGGCAGGAGGCTGGCTCTTCATATCTGGATCCCTGACCAGTACCTGACTCTCCTGCTCAGCCTAAAGCTAAATATGCCCGCCCCATCACTGGCCTAGCTACAATCTCCAACTGGCCACTGACAACTCTCTTTTCACACTACCTAAACTCACTCAGCATACCCAAAACACAAAGTCAAAGGAAAGGCCATGTGGGATTTCTTCCATACCCCCCCAAAAGAAGGAAGAGATGGAGACTACCCTCCAATTAAGGGTACCCAACATGTTCACATTTAGCCTTTTTTCTCCATCCCAGGCCCACTACCACTGTACATTTACCCCTTATAGCCCCTGGCCCATCTGCCATCCTCCACTTGATCCAGAACACACCATGCTCAAGCTGCTCCTGTCAGAGACATCTGGCCCTTCTCCCCACAGCAGCTCCTCAGGCCCATCCCAGGGAAATCTACACAAGGGTTCAGATACCAATACCAGCCTTGACACTTGCTAGCTCTGGAACTCTCAGACTAGTAACTGTATCTCTCTTAGTCTCAGGGGAAATACTGCCTTACTTTACAGGATCATAGTGAAGTTTAAAAGAGAACAGGGCTGGAGAGATGGCTCAGCGGTTAAGAACACTGACTGTTCTTGCAGAAGACCGGGTTCGAATCCCAGCACCCACATGGCAACTAACAACTGTCCTTAACTCCAGATCCAGGGGATCCGACAGTCTCTTCTGTCCTCTGCAGGCCTTGAACGACACGGGTGCACTTACCTACATGCAGGCAATATATACATACACATAAAATAAAAATAAAATATTTTTTAAAAATAAAATTAAAAAAAAATAAGAGAACAGGATGAAAGGATGACTTGCTTCCCCTCAGGTTTTCACCCAAGTGTCCAAGACAACCTATGAACCTCCAAGGTCGGAGGGTTGATAAACCCTCACAACCATGAATCCATGAACTGCTGAGGACAGGGGTCAGGACTTACTGTGTATCTTTTACCTTAGCATCAAACTGATGCTTGGCAAATACATGATCAGACACCAAACAAACAAACCAAAGCTCTTAATATTTTCTAACTCCTTCTTTTTTGGATTTTATTATTTTTTATTTATCTGTTGTGCAAGCACATACAACAGTGCACAGTCATGGTGTTCAAGCACAGGGCAGAGGAAAAACTTATAGGAGTCAGTTCTCTCCTTCCACTATGTAGATCTCAGAAATTGAACTAGGAGTCATCAGACTTGCCAGTAGGGGCTTTTAACCACTAAACCAAAGCTTGCTCTGTGTGTGTGTGTGTGTGTGTGTGTGTGTGTGTGTGTGTGTGTGTGTGTGTGTGTGTGTGTGTGTGTGTGTGTTTGTTTTGAGACACAGCCCAGGTTGGCCTGGAACTCCATGTGGCCAAAGCAGTCGCCTGCCTCTGCCTCCCGAGTGCTGGGATTAAAGGTATGCGCCACCACGCCTGGCAAAAGCTTGCTTTTTTTAAAAGATAGATCCTGGCTGATCTGGAATACAGTGTATAGACCAGGCTGGCCTCAAACTCAGAGATCCACCTGCTTCTGCCTCCACAGTGCTGGGATTAAAGTACTGTACCACCAGGCCTGGCTCTTAAAGGAGCAGTGTGATTGTAGCTCCCACCACTTGGAAAATGAGGAAGGAGGATCAGCAGTTCAAAGTCATCGGAGTCTACATATCAAGTTGGAGGCCAGCCTGGGCTACATGAGACACTGTCTCAAAAACCAGGGATATGGAGATTGGCTCAGTCACGTAAGCATGACAACCTGTGTTCAGATCCCTAGCATCCACATAAAAAGCATAGTGGCATGCATCTGTAACCCCAGGGCAGCAGGGAAGCAATGGTGGGGAGGCAGAGACAGCTGGTCTACCAGGCAGTCTAGCTAAATTGGTGGGCTCCAGGTTCAGCGTGAGAACTTGTGTCAAAAATTAAGGTGGGAGGGCTGGAGAGATGGCTCAGTGGTTAAGAGCACATGCTGCTCTTCCAGAGGACCTGAGTTCCATTCCCAGCACCCACATGAGGCAGCTTGGTTCATAGCAACCCATAACTCCAGCACTACACTCACAAGGACAAACCCACACACGAACACATATATACACATAATTTAAAAATAGTAAAATTTGGGCTGGGCGTGGTGGCACACGCCTTTGATCCCAGCACTCAGGAGGCAAAGGTAGGCAGATCTCTGTGAGTTCAAGGCCAGCCTGGTCTACATAGTGAGTTCCAGGACAACTGGGGCTACAAGGAGACCCTGTCTCAAAAAGACAAAAAAAAAAAAAAAGTAAAATTTAATGGAGCTGAAGAGACGGCTGGCTCCACAGTTAAGAGCACTGACTGCTCTTACAGAGGACTCAATTCCCAGCACCCACTTGGTGTTAACAACCATCCACAACATCCACAACTCTAGTTCCAGGGAAATCCGACACCCTCTTCTAACCTCTCTGGGCATCTCACAACACAGGTACACTTACATGCATGCAGGCAATATATTCACAGACATAAAAATAAATGGGGCTGGAGAGGTGGCTCAGCGGTTAAGAACACTGTTCTTGCAGAAGACTGGGTTTGAATCCCAGCACCCACATGGTAGCTAACAACTGTCCATAACTCCAGTTCCAGGGGATCCAACAGCCTCTTCTGTCCTCCACAGGCATTGCACAATACGGGTGCACTTACCTACATGCAGGCAATCCACGCATATACATAAAAATAATAAATATTTAAATAAATAAAATACTTTAATAATAAAAAAATTTTTAAATAAGGTGGAGAGCAACTGAGGAAGACACCCAACATTAACCACTGACCTCCATATGCACATGCACACACTTGCATACACATATGTATACACATACAAAACACACAAATACTTCACAAGAATAGAGATCACCATGGGTCTCTGAATGACATACTAACACCTTCTAGGCACTTCCCATACCCAATTCTCACAGAATCATTAAGCAACAAGTCCAAAACATCAAGCAAAACCTCAAAGTCTGCCACTGTGCCCTAAAGTTCTCTCTGGGTGGCCCAGGAAGCCTAAGAGTGAGGCAGAGAAAGCTCAGCTAGACAGGGAGGGGTGGAACAAAGTTCATTAGCTTGAGACAATCCATCAGCCATTAAGGTCCTGCCCAACCCACACTCGATCCTGAACAGGTCTCCCAGCTGTAGCCCCAGCTGAAAGTGAACAAACCCAGAGTCTGGGACTCCATGCCCAGTGTGCAGCTGACAACTAACTGTCCCCATGCAGGATAGGCTGAGGACCTGTGCACCTGGAGGCAGATTCTGGCTCCTCAACTAGTAAGCCTGCCAACACCCAATGCCCCTGGGAGTCTATGGCCTCCTCTAAAGCAGGGCTTGGGACAGGGACAGAATGAGGTCAGAGTACTAAAAGATTTAAGGCTGGCAGCCAGAGGCTCCTACTGTCCAAAGCCTAAACAGGATCAGAACCGGAATGAGCTCCTCAGGGTAAAGAGCAGCTAGTTTAAGCCCCATTCCCCACTACCCAGGCCACTCGGAGCAGCCAGCAACACAGCTAACTCAGGATTCAAGTCCCGCTCCACCATATGCTGTAACTGGTCTCTTTCTTAGCTTCTGTACCCCCATCTTTATAAGGAAATCAGAAAACAAATTGACTCAGTAAGATTATGTGTACTCAATAAGAAACGTAGCAAGTGAATCCACAGAACATTTTAAAAGTCCAAGAGCTTTGTTACTGCTGTTTTCTACAACTGCTGGGCCCTCCAGGTGGACCTTGTCTTGGTGCCAACGGGGGTGGGGGGGGCGTTGGGGAGGGCACTGCCAGCTGCTAGATCCATCAACGGGTCCACCTATCCCTATGTATTGGCTCTGAGCTTGAAATTAGGGTGGTAACCTTGTGCAGCAACCTGCCCCCTAGGCTACGGGTGCCTACCAACCAGGGCCACTCAGCGGGCTCCTCCTCCTCCTTCAATGCCCGCCCAGCCAGCCTGGGGCGGCGGAGCACGTGGCCCCAGCCCTGCGGAGCCATTACACTTGTACAGCAGTGCGGCTGTAGGTTTCAAACTAATGGGCACTGTAGAAACCTTCCTTCCTTGCATGCCCGCTCCGCAACCCGTCAGACTCGTAGGGTTCAAAAGAGGAGGGCCCGCAACTTAAGTTCCAAGCATGTTCATTTAACAAGAATCCAGGGTGATTCGGCCGCTGGTGGCCGCTGGTAAAGGATAGAACTGGAGCAATCAAGCTAAATAGTAGAGTCTCCGGGGAGGACTGCGTACCTCCGACCACCCACTCGGACAAGAGACCCAACGCGTAGGGTTTATGGCAAGGGGACGGGCATGGTACCGCAAAGTTTGCATTGGAGGCCCGCATGCGACAGGGAAAAGCCTCAAGAGGCTAGAAGCAAGCACCCTCAGGTGCTCCCTCCCCAAAAGGCTAGCTTGCCTCGCCCACCCGGTTCTCTGGGGCCGAGCTTTGTGCAAGGAAAGCGTGGCCTCAGAGCGCCTACAAGTCCCACAATGCCACACCGACTGGCACGGAGAACTACAGCTCCCGGGAGGCCGCGCTCGCAGAGGTCCGCCTACTCCAAGAGGGCTGCAGAGTCACGTCCAGGCCTCGCTAGTAAACAGCGCCCGGGCGCGGGCAAGCGAGCGAGCGAGCCAGTGACTGCCAGCCTGCGGGAAGGCGCAGCGCCTCAGCGCGCAACACGGCCCCTAAGGGTCCACGTTCCCCCCACCCCACCCCCTGCAACCCTGCGCGAGCGTGCTCGGGCCCCCACTGCAGCCCCGCTCTCCGCAAATGCTCACACCACCTGGCTCCCCGCCCCCCCCACGCCCGGAGCCGCGGCATGGTTGCATTGTAACCGCCCTCGCCGCGGGTCCACGCGCGCCGGGGACCCCCAAAATCCTCTTTAGAAGAGGTGCCCAAAGAGCGCGAGGAAGCAAAGAGAGGAAGGAAGCCGACTCTGGCGGGGGGGGGGGGGGGGGGGGGGGGGGGGGGAAGCGCAGGGTGAAAGCCACCAGCAGCACCAAGCATGGCCGGGACTGCTGCAGCACCACGTGGGTCTGTTTGCAATTTACAAACGTCGCGACTCGACCGCCTGCAGCGGACAAAAGTGGCCCGGGCTACTTGGGGTCCCCACGTTCCGAGGGAAGAAGGTCCCCAGACGACTCGAGCCCGACGCACGGGACTGTAGCCTACCAGGCTGCTAAGAAAGGCTAGCGAGGTCCGCGGCGCGGGCCATGCGTGCGCACACGCGCACCCGCACGAGCGGGCTGGCCGGGGGCTGCAATGGGAAGAAGGGGGGGGGAGGAGCAGTACACACCTACAGAGCCCTCCTATCACTTCTTTCTCTGTTTTCCTGAAATGTTGCAAAGAGGGCACCTTCTGAGTGGGCACCATGAAATACTCCATAGCGATCTGCCCCCCTCCTCTGCAAGAGCCAGGTCCCGCGGTCCGCCGGAGAATGCAAGATGGAAATCCGAATCAAAGGGCAGCGCCGGACGGAGGTGCAGAAACGGCCGGTCCCAGATGCTGGCGGCGGCGGCGGCGGCGGCGGCGAGGGGAGGGAGGCGGGCGGGAGGGGCGGAGGGGAGGTCTCTCCAGCCTGCCTCCCCGGGCGTGTGTATGTGTGTGTGTTTGCAGCTGATCAGATGTCTGTTTCAAGGCGGGAAACAGCTGGTGAAAACTCAGCACTCCCCTGGCCTCCTTCCGCGGAGTAAGGAATTGCATGTAAACAAAGGACTATTTGCAGCGCCCCCCCGCCCCCCGGGCGGCTGGCTGCTGGGACAAGAGGGGCACAAGCTCCCAGGGGCCGATTGCAGCCTAAGTCTGCAGACCTAATCTCTGAAGTAGGGGGCTCCTGGCCACCGGCCGGCTATGGGGGTGCAGTGTGAATGGAGCGAGCTGCGGCCCAGCTACATGCGCCACTATGGGTGATGAGGTCCATCAGCTGACAGGTTGGCAAGCGTTGCTAAAAAGAAAAAAAAAAAAAAAAGCCATCCAGCGCGAGGGATCCCAGCCAGTGCGGCCCAGGGTCCGACGGGGACTGTCCAGTGTAGGGTTTGTGCGCACCGCGGACCCTGGGGGACGCGCGGCTGGGCGGGGCTGCAGCGGTGGAGGGAAGACGGCCTGGGGTGCACACTTGTAGTTTTTTTGTTGTTGTTGGGGGTTTTTATTGGGGGGGGTCTGCTTTTTCATGATTGCAACTGCACCGAGCCGAGCCGCTTTGGCGCCCTCCCTTTCGAGCAGACCCAGGGCCCCCTGGAAACTTGCGTCACAGCCACCGCTTCCCACAAATAACTTGGGACTGATTCTGAAAGCCCGCCAGGCTCCTCCTTCCGTCTCTACCCAGCTGGCCTCCCGGCCCGGACTCTACAGCTTGGGAATTCCCGAGTGCATAGGGTACAAATGGTAAAGGCGGGTGCGCAGGCACCTCGGATGCTGGGACTGCCCTAGGAAGTGGGAGCGGCGGGGAGGAAAGGGCGGAGGGAAGCCAGAACGGCAGCGGCCCCTGGGGGCAGACTGCCAGCGCGGCCCGGAGGTCCATTAGAGGTCTAGAAGTTGCTGCCAGGTCCCCCAACCCTACCCCTCTTACTCCTCCACCACCTTACTTTCCCGCTTCGCGGGCCTCGGGCTGCAGCTTCTCATTCATAAGAAGGCGGAATAGAAATTGCTCCACCGCCAGAGGGTGCTCTCTGCTGGGGTGGGGGGGACACTTCAGCCTTGAGCTCCACCTTCCGGTCCCAGGCCTTCCCCCGGTTCCTGGAGGGTTTGGCCCCTGGTTCAGGAAGCCCACGCCTGCCTTGGAATGTCCTCACTCCTGCTCAGCGCCTTTCTCAGCCTCATCCGCCTTCCAAGTTTCCACCCAAATCGCCCCTCCTAGTTGAAATACTATTAATAACAATTGTTATTATTAGGAAACATTATTGTTACTAAATATTACCAGCATCCGGAAAATGCCCAGTTAGTTTTACGTGCATATTCGTCAAACTTCAAATCAACCTGTTGGGCTATTACTCTAATTACAGATCCCAGATCAAGTAACTTCTAATTCCCAAGGAGACTTCGTTTAAAATTCCAGCTGGGTTGTATGGGGAACACCTGTAATTCGGCATCCCAGCAAGGTAAGGGAGATTGTGTGTCCAAGAATAGCCATAGAGAGAAGAGAGCAAGAGAGATGGCTCAGTGGGTAAAGGCACATGCCACCAAGCCCTGAGCACTTGTTTTCCATTCCCAGAACTCACATGATAGAAAACTGACTGATTTGCACAAGTTTTCCTCCGACCTTCACATGCGCACCATGGGACACACATACATAAATGAATTGTTTGTTTGTTTATTTTTGGCCTTTTTGAGACAGAGTCTCCTTGTAGCCCCAGCTGGCCTGGCACTGGCTATGTGGACCTGGCTCACCTGGATCTCACAGAGGTTGGCCTGCCTCTGCCTTCCAAGTGCTGGAACTAAAGGTGCGCACGAACTACCATGCCCGACTTGTTTTGTTTGTTTGTTTGTTTGTTTGTTTGTTTAGGAAGGAAATAGAAATAAAAACAGCATCCTTGAGTCCTTGGGAAGCTCCTTTAACTGCCTTTAATAAGTACTTCATGAGCACACCTTTAATCCCAGCACTTGGGAGGCAGAGGCAGGCGGATCTCTGTGAATTCAAGACCAGCCTGGTCCACGTAGTGAGTTCCAAGCCCGCTGGGGCTACAGGCAGAACCTGTTTCAAAAAAAATGTATTTCATTCTGGGGCTTAGTGGTTAAGTGCACTGGCTGCTCTTGCAGAGGACACGTGTGACAACTAACAATCATCTGTAACTCCAGTTCCAGAGGATCCTACTCCCTCTTCTGACCTCAGCTCGGGCACTACAGCACACGGCTCAGGTGCACTTATATACATGTAGGCATTACGTTCATATACATATAAAAATAAAATATTTAAAAATAAGTTCTCTCCCTCTCCCTCTCCCTCTCCCTCTCCCTCTCCCCCTCCCCCTCATAGGGCTTCTCTGTATAACCCAAGCTGGCCTACAACATAAGATCCTCCTGTTTCAGCCTCCTGATTGCTGGGATTCATCCAATTTTATTTGTTGTTCTGTTTCTTTTTTTTGAGACAGAGTCTTCTGTAACTCAGGCTGGACTCAAATTTTTCATATTCCTGCCTCCTCCTAAGTGCTGGGGTTATAGCTATGCACTACCCAAGATTTTTATATCTCACCAGCCACGAACACACACCCCTCTATCAGCAGAACCTTAGTTGTACCTTCAGGTGCTCCTCTTATACTTGATTAGATGTGATCTTAAGTTTTCTATAGGTATCAACCTGATCCAGTTTTGTCTTCCAAAGAACAGGGACTTGCATTGGTCCCTTCCTTCCAAAAGAGATGATATGACCTGGCAGAGGGAAGGAATTCAGCAAACCCACACAGACCCTGATTCTTAGTGCTTTAAGATGGAGAAATTTAAGGGATTAAAAGTGTGATCTTCAGAGTCTGAAGAGATGGCAAAGTGGTTAAAACCACCTGCTGCTCTTCCAGAGAACCCAAGTTCCTTAGCACCTATATCAGTTGCTTCACAACCAACTCCAGCTGCAGGATATCCAATGCCCTCTTCCGGCCTCCATGGGCACCACAAGTATATTCACATACCCACATACAGATACACATACACACACTAAAAATCAGGCTGAGTATGGTGACACACACTCCTTTAATCCCAGCACTTGGGAAGCAGAGGCAAGAAGATCTCTGACTTCAAGGCCAGCCTGGTCTACATAATGAGTTCCAGGCCAGCCAGCTGGGATTACAGAGAGATGCTGTCTCAAAAAGACCAAAAATAGGGGGGCTGGAGAGATGGCTCAGTGGTTAAGAACACTTTTGCAGAAGACCTGGGTTTGAATCCCAGCACCCACATGGCAACTAACAACTGTCCATAACTCCAGTTCCAGGGGATCCAACAGCCTCTTCTGTCCTCCGCAGGCATTGCATGACACGGGTGCACTTACCTACATGCAGGTAATATACACATAAAAATAATAAAATATTTTTTTAAAAGACCAAAAATAGAGTGGGGCGTGGTGGCACACACCTGTAGTCCCAGCACTTGGGAGGCAGAGGCAGGCAGATCTCTGTGAGTTCAAGGCCAGCCCGGTCTACAAAGT